TTTTTGTGTAAATCCAATCAATCCCATTCGATCTCATTTCACCTCAGTATCAGCTGGCAACTTTTGTGGCTCAGTGCTATGTCGTGATGCCTTTTCTGCTAGTAATACATCATACAAAAAATCAAAATGTTTTGCTTTTAAGATTGAATTTTGGATTTACTAAAAGAAATAATGCAAAAAAAAAAAATTTAACGTTGCTCAGATCGGCAAGCCCGGTTCGTGTTCTCGATAAAGTCAGCTTTGGGTCCTCGACATTTTTTGCTTCCTGCAGCTCTTTCATTTTAATCGGAAGCTTTGTGTCCTGGCCTTTTCTACCTCTACCTCTAGTTGCCATTTTTGGATTAGCAGCTCGATTCGGAAGACCCGGCAAATATGCGTGTACTCCAATCGGGAAAGCTAAAATTGTTCATTTATTGTTATTAAAACGAATAAGTCACGTTGAGACTCAAAAAGCGCTATAAGCGAAATTAGTAATGCCACTGGATATCAAATATAAAATACGTTAGTTGAGAATTTACACGTGGAAGAAAGATCTGGTAAATTTGCAGTCTCATTTTCATCCCTTAGCTGTAAACACAGACAGAGTGCTGGATGCTAGTAGAAGTGGGAATCATCAGTATAGCTTCCCCTAACTCATCATGTAAGAAAGAAGCATGTTTAAGCAAGCAAAGACCATAATAGAAAATCTTATACTGAAGAATGAGAAATATAAGAATAGAGGAAAAGAGAAGCAATGACTAAATGTATAGAACGGTTTTAATTTATTAAAAAAAAAACTTAAAAAGCAACATTGGAGTTGAAAAGTCGGATTGCAACAAATCTTCCTGATGAAACATCTTGTAATTTATGTTTCCCAATTTTCCAAATTTCTAGCTACACAATTTTTGGGGCTTCTTTTAATGCTGGAATTCGAACGCTAAAAGAAACCCGGATTTTTTTCTACATCCACCGTAATTTCTTCAAGAAACAAAACCAAAGGCCTAGATCGCCACAAAGATGACCACGGCCAGGAGAAGCTGCTATTAGCTACATGGATGAGGAAAAAACTATGCCCAGAAACTATATAGTTCAAAACAGAAGCATGATCTTGAACGAGTGAAAGTGTTGGGAGGGTATGAGGTAGAGTTTACAACGTAAATCCTCCTTCCCCCCTCCCTC